ACAATTTTCTCTCACTCTCTCTTCCCGTCCGGTCCAATCCGATGACGTGCACTTCGTTTACGTATGACAATGGTAAGTTGCCACGAAGTTGTGGCGAAGCAAAGGGCCACGTTCACTCGTTGCATCATGACGCGTACAGTTGACCAAGAAAGAAGGGGAAAGGAGGAGTGGATTTGGGTTCAATGCCGGGAAATTTGATGGACGACAAATGAACTTGCGCTGAGGGGAAGTGCTCCGACATCATCTGATCTTTCGATACGATTGCAAGTTTTGGAATTTTGCGATACGATGGTTAATAATTCGATGCGTGCATCTCGTCGGAAAGGGATGGCGAGTGGAGCATGGCGACCCATTTTCCCCCTTTTTTCTTTTTCATTTCCTTTCTTTTTTTGGAGATTTGTCTGCTGAAAATGTCGATTCGTCTCGGAAGAAAGAAAATGGGGGTTGCTCAATGTATTCTGACCTATAAATATAAGGGAATAATGACACAAATGATACCCAAACTTTAGCTAAATGCGCAACGTGATCTCTAAACTTTTAATTTTGTTCAATGTGGTCTCTGAACTTTTAGTACATGTTCAACTTAGCACCTGAACTACATAAGAAAGTTTAACGTTATCCTTCCACTAATTCAAGTTCTTACATAACATTAAACATTTTCATGTAGTGTAAAGGACCACATTAAAAAAAATTAAAAGTTTAGAGACCGTATTGCACATTTGGCCAAAATTCAGAGATCATTTGTACCATTTTCTCTAAATATAATGCATATAACGATGAATTTCGGTCATGCGTATTTCATAAGCAAGAGCACGGTGGAGGTATCGTCGTGTCGCGCCATCAGGGTGACAGGATGTGCGGCGACAGACGTAAACCAATGTTCGACTCCCCTTCCTACGTCGGTCGCGGGCTTCGCCGTGTTCGGGTATTCGCCGATCGCACAATGTGGTTGGTCAGTTACGTCGACATAAATCGCTAGCTTCAGTGGAACAAAATCATTAAATCTGGAAAATCAAAGTGTCCATGGGCCCAAATCCTGTTTCCTATTTCGGGTCGGATAGAAAACCCACGAGCCCACGGCATGATGAACTAAAAGACCACTTCAGAGCCCAAAACAAACCTCTAGGCTTGTTTGATCCCTGTGCTGGCCCAAATATGCCCCTAATAAAACCATAGAAGACACAATAACATTGGATTTTAACGTAAAAACACCTTAAATTTCTTTAAAAAAACAACTTCATGCCACCACAAATCACCTCAAATCTTTCCAAAGTTTATATAAAATATCGAAAATTCCTCTTGTTTTGGTAAAAAAAAACAAAACAAAATACGAATAATTTGGTGGACGCAAAACTAAACAGTCCCTTAGTTTTGCATATGAGATTCGCGCTCGCATCCATATATATGTACCAATCGATCCGCCCGGTCCTTACGATCTATCAAGCGACGACGACTTACTGTAATCAATTGCTTGCATGATCCAAAATTCCGTTGCCCGTGGAATTCCTTTTTCAGCCCGAAGGAAATATTTAAAAAAAAAAAAAAAGGAGTCAAATTTTTCGTTTAGTCAATTTACCGTTTTCTCCTCTTGACTTTTTGGCGCAGATTAGTCCCTTGCGTAATGGTTATTTGGCCCGTGAATCAAGGAGAGTCTGCTCTTTATCAAAACATGGAATCAATCAAAGGGGCAGGGAAGGATGATGACCAACCAATTTATTAATTCTTTGTTTATTTATCAACCCATTTGTTTTCTGGCTGCAGCCAACCAGTTTATACTGACATTTTCCACTCCATCATTAATAAATTCATTTAGTTTATACACGTAACTATAACGCAGAAATCGGACCGCCGGTCCACATGGTTTAATGACCAAATGAGTTTTTGGTCCGAAGCATTGTGTACCGAGAGAGAAAAAGAGCACACTTTATTTGACACTCTTGATGCATAAACCACACACCATTTTGACTCCATTAAGCACGCACGCACGCGGGGCGGTATTTGTTGGACGCTCGGCTGAGTTTGGACTTTGAAACAGTCGTCCTCTATATAAGTATTAATTGCTATGAATGAAATTAACCCTAATCTTGATTATGTTGATACTCGACAAATTTGGTTATTTAAATGGAGTACATGTTGTTCTGCTGGCTACTAGGATAGTGATCGTGGTTTGCGTACACGTCGGCGACATGTACGCAATTCTTCATTCAATCCGCATAGGTATGAGTCTCGATCGGTGGGAATCTAATACACCTTGACCGTTAGAATGGGCGGAGTCGTGGATTGCATATACCTTAAGGGATAAGCACGGCATGCCATCGCTACACGAAGTAGGAGAGAGACGGATACGTGGTTGAACTTCTGCTCAAGTCGATGTCCCCGCTAAGGTAGTTAGCCGAGTCGAATAAGGCTTAGTCCTAGATGGTCTGGAGCCTCCTCGGTTACCATTCCGTATCCCTCGGTCACTCCTCAAACTCTGGAAAATTAAGATACATTCGCAGCGTAGATTCGGCTTGTTACCGAATGTACGATTAATTCGGACTTTCATACCAATTTGCACACGAAGGTGCAGCGGTCACGGGGTCAGTCACAACGAGCAGTGGCTACGGTTTGAATTGTCCATTCCGACAACGCCAAGGGGATCATCGACGTTGGTCCACCTTTCTTCACCCTTTTAATCGTAAAATAGTCCCACATTCTAGATAAACGGCACACGAATCTTCGATAATTCCTGTATACACACATGCTCGAAATCCGATGCGATCTCGTCAGCCTTTCTCCGGTAGATACGATAGCTTTACTTTACAGAGCACGTTATCATCCCGGACCCGTAAGGACGGGACGCGACGCGACGCGACACGTGCTTTTTCGATCCCGTCCAAAACTCAGCATTTCAGCCAAAAAAGCAAAACTGAGCAAAGGAACGGTTCGATTAGCTTGACAAGAAAGGCAAAGGGAGAAGGGGACCGATGAACGGGTCATTCGAGCTTTAACTGGTCCGTTCTCATCTCACCGGAGATGGGAACGCGCAGCGCACGGCGCATCCACGGCCGAAGCTACAAAAGCGACCTCGTCAAATTTGTGCGCTCTTTGACCCCCCACCAAAAAGGGGAGCAAAGTTTCTAGAAAAGTTGAGGGTCGGAGACTTTAAGAATTGCATTCTCCCTTCTTTAATTTCAGCAAAAGATTTATGTGCGATGCACGAGGGTTGAGGATGTGCGTTCCGTGTGAAAAGGACCACTTCAATAACTAGGAAATTGTCGCGAGCAGGTTGACGGGAACGGCCAAAATCCCCTCCCCCCCTTCCTCACGAGTTTTTTCTTCCTCACCTTTTTGACTCCGCTCTGCTCCTATCTCCCCTCATTTGTTTTAATTTAATCGAAAGGAGGAACGAATTGGATAGCTGGAAATTCGTTCCTGTGGACCAAGATTTGGAAAATTAAATATCGGTCGATTTGCTATTATGATGACGAACTAGTTCTTCGCCCCGTTCGGAAATATTAAGAGGCCAATATCATATTTGGCCGTGTTGGGTCGTCTAGATTTCTAGACAGGATAGAACTGGATATGATTGGATATGAAATCTGGGGATTTTGCTATGTCATATCCACTGTTCGATGAATCGTAATAAGAAAACCGAATATTTTCACATCCTATCTTGTCCATTGTTTGGTATGAATCGTATATCAGTGTAAATACAGCTAAATATTGCACAAACGGAGATGGCAAGAATTTCTCACGACACTCTTGCCTACTTGTGGTTTATTTTTTTGTTGTTTTCCCTCTCTCTTTTTTTAATTCTTTTCTTTTTTTTTTTTCCTTTTTCCCTTCCATCGTTCTCTAATAAAATTTTATTAAATAGTAAATTATACCAATATACTTAAAATATTAATAATTTAAGAAGTTCTTTTATTCGAGAAAAATATTTTTTATATTATGGATATTAATAATCATATCCATTTTTATCGCATCTCTCGTATAGGAAAATTTTATCCGGGTTATATCTCTCATATATCCGACTTTATCTTATATTGGCCAGGCATCAAACATTGGATAGAAGTTTTTTTTTTTATCATATCCTAAATTTTATTTTGACTAGATAACCTGATTAATGACAAAATCGGGCCACCATAATGTACTGCTGTAGAGACAACACCGATCTCTAATACTCTCGAGTAATATTGTGCCTAGGATAATGACATGCTTGATAAATTTCGACGAGGAACATCCGCATCACGTTATGCTTTCTTAAACGATTCTCGAGTTATATGGCGTCGAATCTTAACCAATGGACAAGCAGCCTTGTCGATTCGACCAGGCGAATGTGACCCGAGAGACGATTGGGCCGAAGCTTAGGTGAACTAAGTTGGAAGTTAAGCCCGAAGACAGCGATAAGTGACTTGTTCGGGACGGCACGTAATAAACTCGAGTGCCCTAAACAACGTGGAGACCCCAGCACGAGCCCGAGATGTGACCCCGCGACGGGTCCCATTCCCTCGGCCATTTCCCGAGCATCTCCCCTGTTCAGACCTCACCTCGCTCTCCCGCACGTGTGAAACGCCCGACCCAATTAGCCGACCCGATCGAACCCCCCCGCGTGGCGTATCCCGTAGAATTCCAACCCCCCCGAAATCCCCAGTCAATTCCGCTTCACTAGTCCGCGACGAACTCCCACGACTCCGAAGAACCGAATTAAAAATAAAGAAAAAAGAAAAAGAAAAAGAAAAGGGCTCCGCAAAACGCGTCGTTCGATCCACCCCCCCGGGGAATTACCCAAATCCAACGCCTACCAACGCAGAACGACCTAACCACGGTTAACTCGCGAGGCTCTCGTGTCCCCAACCCTGGTCAACATATCCCCCCACTCTTATAAACCTCGTCCTCGCACGATCCACCCACACAAACACAAGCAAAAAAATCGCACACAAAAACTTCGAGCACACGAGCGCGCACACCGATCGAAGGCCGAATTAGGCAACAGAGAGAGAGAGAGAGAGAGAGAGAGGAACGAGCCGCCATTAACGATCCGCCGACGGAGCTCGAGTCAAGAAGGCCGAAGGGGAAGATGGAGAAGGTGGAGGGAATGGCGATGATGTACGTGGACGAGGAGGAGGTGTGGAAGTGCGCGAAGCACCCGACGCGGCGCCGCCGCAGCGGCATCTGCCCCAAGTGCCTCCGCGAGAGGCTCGACGGCCTCTGCCCCGACTGCGCCAGCCTCCGCCCCTGCAGCTGCTGCGCCTCCGCCACCTCCTCCTCCTCCTCCTCCTCCTCCTCCTTCTCGCGTTTCTTCGGCGGCGACTCGGGCGGCGGGGGCGGGGGCGGGGGCGGGGGCGGGGGTGGGGCCGTCGGGAAGGTCTCCAACCTCATCGACTCCGAGCCCTCGTTCCGCCGGTCCCGCTCCGTCGCGGTCTCCTTCTTCCGGTCGAGGTCGAAGTTCGTGAGGGACTTGGACGCCGACATCGGCATCGGCGTCGGCGTTGGCGTCGGCGACGGGTACGGCCCACACCAGCGGCCCGCGGAGTCGCCGCACAGGACGCCGTCGTTCTTCGGCCTGTTCAGGAGAGACAAGAGCAGGAGACCCGGAGCTGAGGCTGCGGAGCGCCCGGGCGGGGGCGAATCTTCTGATGCGGCGGCGGCGGCGGCGGCGGAGGAGAGGAGGACGATGATGAGGAAGTCGAGGTCGGTGGCGGTGATGTCGAACCCGCTCCCGCTCGGCGGCGGGGCCGCGTCGGCGAAGGGGAGGAGCTGGCATTTCCCGAGCCCGATGAAGGTGTTCCGGCAGTCGAAGATGACGAAGGTGGTGGGCCAGGAGCGGTCGCCGTTGTACAGAGGTTGAATCTTCGTTCAACATTAAGTTGATCAAATCATATGAAACTCCTACATATATAATACGAGTTTTCCAAAGATCGATGCTGGTCGTTGCTGTATTGTACCCGCGATGCTAACAAAGACATAGATATCGAAATCCCCAAAGGCAAGGCAATAACATCTTCATTTTCATTTCACTTCGTCCATTTCATTTCTTCATCGTCTCTTCACGAGCCCGTGGATCGAGAGTTCTTCAATTGATGATGATCACTGATCAGAATCATCAGATCAGAACCTCATGGGATTTACTGTACTTGATAGAATCCATCGAGGGTCGACGTCATATTTGTCCAGAAATTTGGCAGCTGATTGGAATCGTGTCATGCCCAGACTCTCTCTTTCTTTCTCGTATTCTGTTGCTTGAAATTTGCATGTTTTCTCTCTGAAACTGGAGTTCAAGAACATGGATCCCTCGTTGGATGGATATGGATCCATTGTCCCCGACATGTGATTATGGATTTGGCGAATCCCATGTGCGGTCTATATCGATCAGAGTCAAAATGGGATTTCCTCCTAGCTTCCTTTTATGGAAGATTCACGTCCAACCAAGTACCCACTTCCACCAGACTTCAAATCTACATGCCTAAGCCCCATGGGTGTTTTGAAAGGCGCATTGATTGCTGAATTATGCAGTTTACTTGAGAAAAGGAAGGGGGGGCGGGGGTGGTCGCTTTGGGTGGTCCAGCTTTCTTCAGTGGTCCAGCGTTAAGTTCAGCGCATTCACGCATTGAAAGTCTACATTGGCGGGGGAGATAAATGCAGTCGGCTGGGCGGCTATTAGTGCACATCATGAGGCTGTGATTAAAGTGGTTTACGCCTCAATCATTCCGCTAAACATTAAAGGGTCTTTGTTAACAAGTACATCGATCTCTAATTTATTTTTTGACGTGGTTGGGGCCCTTCATGGTTTGACAATCGGATGCAAATGATGGTGTGAATGTCCCACCCGATTGACGTGAGGTTCCAAAAAAGCAGTCCATCCCCCACTTGAGTTTCCGTGGAAAATCTTGGCCCAGATTTCAGTTCCCACCCCCGGAAAAGAGAAGCAGCAAAGCGCACGCACTGAAGCGCCCATCATGTGGTTTATGAGCTTCGGATCAACACCACCTTGAGATCTATCTATGGGACATAATAATTGATTTTTATCTCCTATTCCTTTCCCTTTCCCTTTCCCTGTCAATCCCTTGTTCTGAAGTGGTTGCGTGTGTCTGTGTGTGGGATGGGACTAATGATCAAGATATGATTGATGAGAGTGTGACCTGAAATTTGCAAGCCTCCAACCGAGCAGGAGAAGAGGGGTTTCTCCTGCAACCCTAAGGGGCCGTTTCGACAGCGATCTGTTTCGTTTGAACATGCGTACATTATTAAGATTTGTTGCGAGCATTAGCTTTTCGATTTAGATATTGCTGTCGCATCGGGAGTCGGAGTCGTCAACTTGTAAAGCAGCTTGCCTGGGAGCATGTCCTGCTTAATTATTTCCGCGGAACTTTCAATTAGTGTCAAAAGGAATACCAATTTCAATATGTGCAGTGTAAAAATCTTTTCTTTAGTAAGAGTTGTACTTTGAATTTATAGCTTGAAGTCAATCACCAATTGGTCAAATAATGCAATTTGACTTTAAGCTTCTAGATCTATGACTTTTCCCCCCCAAAAAAAAGAAATTACTAAAAAAAAAGGAAATCCGTAAGGACCCGTGAGGAAATACAATTTAATTAAATTTAGTCTCTCCGATTTATTTATTTTTTTTCGTTTTTTGGCCTTTTGGATAGGATGGACATCCATTCCATTCTGATCGAGCAATACGAGACCAATGATGGTCCCGAGAGAACATGTGATATTTTACCGACCAATATGCGAGAACTGGATTTGCCACGAATACGAAGAAAAGCCGAAAACGACAGCGCGTTTTCAAACACCAGTTTGACTAAAAAGCCATACCATTCCATTAACATACTTTAAAGTCTAAAACTTCGTGAAAAGCCTCGGCAGAATCTAAGCACTTGCGTACCTGTAAGCGCCGTGTTTTGTTTAATGTCTGAAAGCGCTATCTTATTCCGGAGACCTGCTCCGACGTTACGGCTTTGCACATGCAGAGAGGCTAATCTTCTATTCTTTCGGTCAGTATTAAAATCGTAAGCAGGCGACCGTAAGATGATAAGCCTCTGAATAATCGCCGGAGGATCTCTTCCTCGTTTAGTTTAATCGGATTCGTGACTCTACGGTTCGGCGATCTTAACTGTCAAATCCAATTTTTATTTCCATAACATGTACGACACTCTCGCTTCGTTTTCAAATTCGTCTTAGTTTGTAAATTGATCACGACGCCAACGTGGTTAACAGCTCTTTTCCGGTTATGGTTGGGGCTGACATGGCGCAAAACGACACCACCAAACCCTACCCCTAACAGGGGAAAAATCAAAGGGGAGGAAAGAAGAATATTTGGACATGGCTAGCGATTTCAGTGTGCTAGTCAATGTTGCTGATGATGTTGCTTGGAAAAATTCCAATTTTGTTTTTTGGGTCTAATTAAACCCGATACGTGGCCTAATTGCTCGGGCGAGGGGGAGTGTTCCCACCATCGGGTGTTGGGTTCGAGTCATAATTACGAAACCGCCGCCGATCGGGAATCCCCTTAGCTCGACGTTACGTGAAAGGCCTGCCCATCACAGCCAAGCAAGATGCGAGGTGATTCTTCAGTATAAGCACGTGCTAGAAATTAGCGACCCGGTGAGATCGTCTCGCGCAGGAGGTGAATTTCAAGAAATAGGAAAACTCTTTTAGAAAACCCGATCGCTCCAAACAACTTAATTCAAGGAAAGATGGGTTTAGATCCGAACGAATCGATGTCTCGGTAGGTATAGTTGGACTGACCTCTTAAGCGATTGAATATCTTTCGAAGAGTAGTCCGTCCATGACATGGGACCAAAGGCTGCATGTGCATGGACTTATGTGATCTTGTGGCTATTCTTTCAACCGGACAAATTAGATCTTAACGAACAAAAACATGCATGGCCAGATACATCCCTGGCCTAAGAAACGAAAGGCAGGGACCAAAAGGACGAGACCCGTGCAGCCAAAACACACGAGCAGGAATCTTGGTGTCTAGCGAAAGGTGATCTACCGCGTAGGTTAGGCTTAGATTCACAACTCTAATTGCTTTTAGGGAACACCCACCAAACCCTGCCACAGTACCAAAAACCCTAAAAAAGGAAGTTGAAATTGCAATGACAGATTGAATCGACTTGTAAAGTTATCTATTCCCTTGCCGATGGTTTTCGTTGGATACTCGGAGAAATTGCCCAAACAGTCTTTCGTTGATCCTAAACTTTTCAACTTTACCGATTTAGTCATAAACCTCTGCGGAAAGTTCCAATGTATTCCTTCTAGCAAATGACGGGAAAAGTGTCAGAAAAGTTCTAAACCTATTACATTGGTATCAATTTAGCCCTATACTTTTTTTTAGTGTCAATTCAGTTCTAAACCTTTTATCTTTGTGCCAATTCAGTCCTTCCGGCTAATTTTAGCCGGATTTTGCTGACGTGGAGGCCGTCCGACTTACGTGGCACCGCCGGCGATGACGTGGACAACTTTTGATAATATTTTAATTTTTTTCAAATTTTTTTCTTTTTTGTTTATTTCTTTTCTTTTCTTTCCCTTTCTTCTTCCTCCAACCTGTCGCCAATCCGACAACCGGCTGGAGGCCAGGGCCGGCGAGGTGACGAGCCCCCCCGGCCATTGGCGAGCCCTGCCAGCCATTGGCGAGGCTCGCCCTCGCCAGCGATGACGATGGTGAGCCTTGCCTAGCCGCTGGCAAGGCTCACCTGCGACCTCACGGCCACTGGCGAAGGCTTGAGCCCTCGCCATCTGGCGAGGTCGGGTCTCATCCATGGCCGGCGAGGGCGAGCCTCGCCAGCCCAGCGCGAGATCGGCCTCGCGACCATTTGACCTCGCCGGATGGCCGTGATGGTGGCCTCGCGCTGGGGGGGCGGGGATCGCCCTCGCCGGATCTGGCAAGGACAAGCCTCAGCAGTGGCCAACGGGGCTCGCCAGAGGCCGGCAAGGGACCTAGCCGGCTGAAGGAAGAAGAAAGGAAAAAAAATAAAAAATAAAAAGAAAATAAGAAAATAAAAAATCCAAAAAATATTATTAAAAGTTGTCCATGTCATTGCCGACAGTACCGCATAAGCCGAACGGCGTCCACGTCAGCAAAATAAAATCAAAATTAGCCGAAAGGACTGAATTGGCACAAAGACAAAAGGTTTAGGACTGAATTGGCACAAAAAAAGGTTTAGGACTAAATTGGCAATATATTTTGGGCTTTTCTGACATTTTTCCCAGCAAATGACTGACCTCAAGTGGAAAATCAAATTTCACCGGAAATCGCTGACGTGGCAGTGTGCCACGTAGGACGACCGGCGATGACTAGATCACTACGTCGGCGATTTCCGGTGAAAATTGATTGGAAGGATTATATTGAAATTTCGTAAAAAGGTCCGAGACTAAATTTCGCAAAATTAAGAAGTTTATGTCTGATTTGGTGTCCGTACCATAAGTTTGAGACTGATGGTGTAATTTTTCCTTGTATTCATCGAAGCGAAAAACATTTGCCCGTACATGATCTGTGAAGAGCTTGACTTTTATGTATCTCATCAAGTATATTCCATATGATTTCTATTGATGTTAAAAATGAGAAGCTGAGCCAAAAGTTGTGCACTTATAACGAGAACCCTTCTAGAATTTGAGTTGCCAGGCTCTTGAAATTGCTAGGAAATTGCCCCCCGCCAATCAATCACGGAACACCGGCCATGTAAAGTATCATTCAAGCAGATGGTCATACAACTAAACTCTCGTCTACAAACGCAACGAATTCGTTTATCGCGATGAAAAATTATATTCACGTAAGCTCTTGAATCTTGTTTGAAATAACTATTTCTCGAGCTGCCGGTGTATCGAATGAAGATCAAATTATAATGACGAAAACATATCAACGTTTTTCCCTTTCAAGAGACGACAAATACAATGTGTGTGGGTTGTGGCTGTTAGATCAAACGCTTGCAAAAGTCAATAAATCAAAAGATCAATGCGAAATCTTGGCTGCAGAAAGTCGACGGTCCTTTTGTCCTCTTTTTCCTTTTCT